ATTAAAACTATATCAATAAAGTGAGTAGCAAATTTTCTAAGTAGTTGAGCCACAACTCCTCTGTAATAGCTAGCTGTGTGAAACTGTGAACATTTAGACGTTCAATTTGCAATTTTCTCCATTTGGGGTATTTCAATATTTTATTTTATGTTAGATAAGCATTAATCTTTTATTCCTTTATCTAATTTGCCCCACCCATATGCTCCATACTAATAGAATTCAAAATATTATTTCTAATAAAAAAAGATTATTACTCTATCCCTTAAGTGATTGGAAGCTTCAAATCAAATACTAATATTACAACATACTAACATTAATTTAACATTATCAAATTTCCTTCTTTTTCTTTTTCTTTTGATAATAACGTCCTCAAATTTCACTATGGGGCACATTTACTACAAATTAAAACTTTTAGTGCTTATTTACCATTGTTTCATTGAGATTTGGATTTTTGAAGGCTTTTTCACCAATAAAAATTATTTTTGAGGGATCGCTTTATACTATTTTTTCTAAATCGATTCAACCCTTTTAAAAATACACTAATTCAAGATATTCCCTCTCTACTCTTAACCAGAATAAGGCGCTCCATTTATCCAAACACAGCGCTCCCATCTTCTGAGCGTACGACAAAATTACAAAAACAACCCTACTTTTTCCTAAAATTCTCATTTTCAGGACACCTTGTTCCTCAAGACTATTGCCATTAGAATTTGCAGAGACACACAAACGCACAAAGAAATCAAACTTCGACAGATCCGAATCCGTAAGCTTCCCGTAGCAGATCGGAGTATTAAGATAATGGAATGTGTTTTCGGTCTCGTCGGCGACGGTTTCGCTATTCTGGCGGCCGACACATCGGCGGTTCACAGCATCTTGGTGCACAAATCGAACGAGGACAAAATCATGATCCTCGACTCGCACAAGCTCGTCGCCGCTAGCGGCGAGCCCGGTGACAGGTAAGAACCGTTTTCAACTCACATTGGGTATGTCTGATTGGGTTACAGTGTTTGTATTAAACTAGGTTTTTGTTTTGGGTAGGGTGCAATTCACGGAGTTCATACAAAAGAACGTGGCTTTGTATCAGTTCCGTAATGGTATTCCTCTGACGACCACTGCTGCCGCGAATTTTACCCGGGGAGAATTGGCTTCTGCTTTGAGGAAGGTAATGCTTTGTTTCATAGTTCAATTGTTTTGACCATTTTCAAAAATTCTAATTAATCATCTGCTTTTTCAAGTGGTTTTGTGCGAAGATAGATTTAAAGGTTCTTTCTTTCTGTGTTTGTAGAGAGATTTAATTTGGGTTTAGTACTTCCACATCTTTGTTTAAGGTTGGCATGAGTGCAAGTTGTGCACCGTATGATGGGTACACTAGATGACTTATTAAAGTGCACCTGGCTAACTTCTGAACTGAGCAGTGGAAAGCAATAGCGTCTTTAACATTCTTATGCCTAATTGGTTGCTTGCCTTCAAGAAACCATTTATTAGTGTAGCATTGAGGGTTTTGTAGTTTTGCTAGAATTGCGACCCGATGAGGAGGCCATTATGGTGTTTCATATGTTTTAGAGTTTAACAATTTGTCTGCCCATTGAACTCTTCACATCAATGTAGGTGGAAGGTTACATGTTTAGTCTAGTTTGTTTGGAGAATAGATAGTTCCTGGAACTAAGTTTTCCATGTTGATAATGACTGCTGTGCTTGTGGAATCTGGTAATTATGTTTGTAAGTACATCATCGCATATTGGAACTTTGGAATACTCTTAATTAAACTTGTACTTTTCTGTATTCTTGTACCTCATACAGTCTTCCTATTAGAAATAAAATTCAGTATGAGCCATGGTAGGCTTTCGCTTGCCCTTGAACCATTTCTCCTGATCAGTAGCCAAAGTCTTGTGTGGAAAGAAGTGCACTCTGTTGTTTGGTTCTTTAAGTTTCTAATACCATGTTTGTTAAAAGATTCTTCCTTTTTGGCCTATGGTTAAATCAATGGTTTTTAAGGTCAGGAAAATGGAACTCAGTAGTGAGCTTTGCAGAAATTTATTAACTGCATACTCTATTAAATATATATTGTTTAAGGTATCTTTACAGCCTAGGTTAGAAATATTTATTCTATATTTTTCGTTGTCTTGGACAACACTCATTTCTGATCCTTGACCTTAGAAAAGTGGAAATAGCATTAAGGCTGTCCTTTTTCTAGTCAGTCTGGATACTCTAGAAATTATGTCTAAATGGAGGGGCCTAGAAGGTAATTTTGGAAATGGGAAATGTTTAATGTTGTATTTGGCTAATATGAGTTTGATTGTTTGTTGGTATAATAATGCAACTTGGAATAGACATTGTTTGTCTGAGTGATCGTGCTTTCCATCTCATCCCTGCCCCAAACCACGAGAATCTTTTTAGTTTCTCCTCAATTGTAACCAATCCACCAATCTTGATTTGACTACCTGGCTGTAATATACTGGGATTCTTTACCTATTTTCTTGTTTTTTCCATTTTTGGGCACATAATTCACTTGTTTCCTGACTAACTAGATAATTTGTGTAAGGTGGTATGGTTTAACCAGCTCCCTATGTTTCTTTTTGGTGGTGGAGGGGGGAACATTTAAATGTGGTTCTAGTTTTTGGAATTTATTAATCAAAACATATACATCTGGTAGCTCTTTTATTACCATGAAAGCCCTTGTCTAAACTAAAGCAACCAGAATATGCTGATATGTGGTAAAGTAAAAATGGAAAGATTGTGGTAAAGTAAAAATGGAAAGATTAAGTACATCAAAAAATTGTTCTCTGATGTATCTAACTGTAATTTACTGTTGATGTTTGGTTTCCAGAACCCATACTCTGTGAACATTCTGCTGGCTGGCTATGACAAAGAGACAGGCCCTTCACTGTACTATATTGACTACATTGCTACCATGCACAAGGTAGATAAGGGAGCATTTGGTTATGGCTCCTACTTTTCCCTCTCCATGATGGACAGACACTACCACAGTGGGATGACAGTTGAAGAGGCCATCGACTTAGTTGACAAGTGCATAGTGGAGATTAGATCCAGGTTGGTGGTTGCACCACCAAACTTTGTAATCAAAATTGTTGACAAAGATGGAGCAAGGGAATATGCTTGGCGTGAATCCGTCATGGATGTCCAGGTTGCCTCAGCCTGAGGTTCTCAACACTTGGTTTTCCAAACTCGGTCAATTTGCTTAGAATCATCTTGTTTGCTTTTTATGGAAAAACAAAGGGGAACCCTACAAGACTTGCATTGTTTAGTTTGATGTGTGTAAACTGATTTGGGGATGGCTGGAACGGTGTGCTATAGAAGTTTTATTATTATTAGTTTTTTGGATTAGCAAAAAGAAACAAACCTCAATCTGGCTTATTCATCTCCACTAATTACGTGCGGGCTGAAGAAATTTTGCAAAAGTAACATTTTAAGGAAGTTCAATAAAAACAATCGGAACCCAAGATGTTTTCTTTCTAATAAAAGCAACAGTCCCACTTCTCATTGGACACAGAATGGTCTGGTTTCATTGGACTAGTGAGACCGCCATTATTCCAACTTTGCTAAGAGTACAATTTTATAAACAAAAGTTTTATTGAATGAGAACTCACTAAGCTCATGCTAACAACCCGGTATTGCTTTCACAAGCAGCACTTTTGATGTGACAAAGACTTGAGTTTTTTTATTTTGTGTTTGAATTGTATTATATTGTAAAACAATTATAAAATAAAAACCATTAAATGGAGAGAGTGTCTCCAATATTGAAAATTTTATATAATTTAATAATTAAAGTTGTACAATTTAAATTATATAACATTTTTTACAAAAAGATTTTCCATAGATGACTAATTTAAATAAAAACCTATTTT